TCTTAAACAGGTCAATCGTTGATAAAGTGTGTGCGCAGTATGGAACTACATGCACCAGTGCAGTGGAATCAGTAGTCAAGGGTCGAAGGAAGAGAGTGGCCTCTTCGTGGCCAAAGGCGTTAGCACTAGCAGCAGCTCCCTAGGGCTGCCAATCCTTTTTGAGCTTGCCACCGCCTGTGCGCTGTCCGTCAGTGTGTTACAACATCGTCAGTTTGGAAAAAGAAGCAAAGAAAACCGTTGATGAAGCCATTAACAAGCATTCCCTCTCCTCCTCTATTAAAAGAGGCGGAGCTGTACGAGTTGTACAAACTTGCTTGCTCCATCGCTTCACCAACCCGTACCTATTCGCTACGCCGGAATTCACGCTGCGTATCACGGGATGCGCGCAAGGCACCTCTTCCATAAGCTAACATTACTCGCCATAAGTTCAGTTTGAGTTAAAGCTTTAGCGCCATTGCGAGAGTCGAACCTTAGGTAGCATGGGAATCGCCACAGTAACTTATTTGTTTACGAAGAAAACAAAAGTACGAAGAATTTATCTCATACACAGTTTACAAGAATTAATATCACAGTTAGGCATAAAGCACTACAACCCGATACAGTACTAGGGAACGACGATGCCAAAACCTTGTCACATGAGCGATTATTGGTCGGAACCACACATTGGTTATCGACAACTGTTCAAATTGCAGTACCAAAAAATCATATAAAGCAGGAGATCAATTGGTTATAAGCGACATGTACGCCTCGATGTAAGTGAATGGCAAAAGGAATTGCACAAGTATTTCTATTTTCGCCCTACTTAATTCTGATTTCTCATCTATTTACAGAGGTTTCAAGAATACCATGATGGCATCAAGCCTATATACTTCTTCTTGCGATAGCTTCCGATAGAAATGGTCGCGTCTATCTCGAAGATCTTTCAATTCCTGCAAAATCATCTTTTTAGAAAGAATTTCTAGTGAGAGAAATGTTTTGCTATCACCTCGATACAACTGTCAGCCTTCTTCTTTCTCTCTTCTGCAGCCACATCCACCCCAATGGAACTTACTGGAGCCCTAGCACAGTTTCGCAATGAATCTATGAGACCGGTGGCAATGCTCTGTAGAGACGACAATGCGACTTGACGGCAGGATTCTGGCAATGTGGTGTCTTGCAGGAATTCTGAAACAATCAGAAATCAAAATCACAACTAACGTATAAAACTTAAATTGTGAGGATCTATGAATGCTAGGAAATTAGCAGGATGTATAGTTTTGGAAAGAAAACAACACGGCTTCAAGAAATAAAATCGACATTGGAGAACTCAATTGCATAATTAAATTCTCCGGATCGAAAATTCAGAGCTTGAATTTTTTCTCTGATGAATGGCTGTCACCAAGGAATACTACATGCTTGATAGCTCAGCATTAAGATACACTTTTAAGAATGAAAAAAGCTAAAAGTTCTCCAAAAATCAGCATTCACGGTATAATTTCAAATCAGAGATAAGCGGAAACGAGTTCACTGATATAACCATTTCAGTGATTGAAACTGACAGGTGATCGCTCAAGCAAATTGGGAAATAGTTGTGAACAAACACCAATTACCTCTGCAAATCTTTTGGCTCTGGATCTCTGGAGATGACCTTTACGATTATTGCCCCCCTCCCCTTTCTACGGGAATGTGGTAAGGCCAGCTTTACAATTAATAGCTTTACTTTAGCTTTACAATTTACAATTAACCAGCAATACAATAAGGCAGCTCATTGAAGTAAAGGCAGAGCTAGTCAGTGGTGACAAAACGAAGGAAACCAAGAGAAACTGCCCAGAACCCGAGAAATTGGACCCCTTCCTTGTTCGCACTGGTGCAAATCTCATCGGTGTTGCCCTCTTCAATGCTAACGCTCTCTCTGCTGAACGTATAGAGGGTTAGACAGTGAGAGCGAGGCATACCACGCGAGCGGGGAATGCCCTACTGGATCACCGGGGCGTTTCGCTGTGAATTATGTATTCGTACCCTTGAGGATGCCGTCTTGTTTTTCCACTAGGTGAACTTCCTCTTCTTCACCTTCATCCTCATCAAGAAATCCTCCCTTAACTCCGTGAAATCGGGAAGGAACTGAGACAAAAAAAAAACCACGTGTCTTGTCCCTTCACTCCAAATTCTGCTCGTCACGACGGCGCCAACCCCACAAAGCATAATTCGTTACATTTATGCAGCGCCACCAAACCATTCATAGTTTGGTGCATTTATTTTGCATATTTGTTAACTATTTCGCAAGCGTTTTCCCTCTCTAAAGTTCCGAATTGAATATAAAATAATATTCCACATCTGAGACTGTGGGCTAAAAAAACATAGAAACTAATCCTCTTTATCTGAGGCTGTGGGCTAAAGAACATGGAAACTGATACATTTTACAATGGCTTCATAAGGCCTAATTTGCACCAACAATAATGCATTGTTTCAAAGTTGGTTAATTGAACACACACTTACCTTTAAGCTTAGGCAGATACATACTGCAGATGTTGATATCCCAGCGTTTCGTCTCGTTGAACATTCTTAACATCACAGCAACTGCTGACTCATCGGCGAATAGGCCATCTTTGAGCATAGCTGAGAGACCTCCATGTTTCAGAGATGCCGCCAACTGATGCACTCCTGGAATAGAAAAATGGTTGATAACTTATTCACAGTATGCTTAGTGGACTCTTAGTGGGACTGATCTATTTTAAAGGTGTTTTAGTGGACTTTGGACTTATTTTAAAGGTGTGGACTTGGACCAGAAGATGTTCTATTTTACGAGACTGAGACGGGACAAAAAATCAGGTAGCAGAAAAATTGCTGGTAGTACAAAGCCTCAACAGGGCATCCGTATATCTAAATCTCCACTTAAACCTCCGAGTTCTAATTTTCCATTGTCATATGGTTAGCTCTCGATTTACTGAATGTGATCGCTTGGCGAGCTCACCAGTTTTTCGAAAAAAAAAAACAAAGAGATTTCGAATGTTTTCCATTGTGGGTTTAACCGGTTCCTAGTAGTCCAATGGGATTATGTTACACTAAATCAGTCATACATTCCACAACGACCCATCACAAGCACCCTCCAAATTTTTTTCATGCACTATTCAGAACGAAATTCTCTAAGTGGATTTCGGAGGAACCCCTGTATGTATAATAATGCGAAGTTATGGGAAAAGTTGCTAAAACACGGACGACGTCTGATGTTTATTGAACTGGATGCAATGTCTAATATTCCTTGGTTGCCCAAAAAATACTTTTACCAGTTACATATTGTAATAACAATAATAAAAAGGATAAAGCATTTGCCGTTGATCAATCCCGTTTTGGGATGCGGCACGCATTCTACTTCCATTTGTACATTCGCAGTGGCATTTGAATGCGATGTGGCCTATACAATGACTTGCGGGGGCCAGCCGATGTTCAAGTCAGTGTTTTTATCCTCCCAGACAAGTCTGGTACCAATTAACCGACCCGGAGGGATGGAAGGCTTGGTTGGCCCGGGCGACTCACGACCCAGGATTTGATCCCCGGACCGCTCGCGTGGTAAGCGTGCCACTTGCCACTACACCACTTCCGCCCTATAATTGATACGAGTTAGTTATATATAGTAATGATATGATGGAAAAATTTTTCCGAAACTGTGACAACCACACCACATTCCAAAATGTTCTCTGGATCAAACAGTCTCCATCCAACTCAAAGGTTCTTGACTATAAATCCTTAGCACATGATACCAATTCTCCATGGACTGTTTAGTAGTTCAGTGAAAGATCGAAAAAATAACTAAATCATAATTTCTGCAAAGGAACACTACATAGATGTTGTGTAGAGCTTGAAAACATTAGGCAACATACTTTGGGAACAAGTGTGGAGAAACAGATACACGGTAAAAATTTAATGTAGTTCACGTAGATAAGTTTGGCGAACGTCATGAGCAGGGTAAGGCGATTGGTTGGTAAAAAATGTTAAAATATGAACGAGCTTCCTTCCTCACACATCCCCCACGGTAGGAATTTACGGAACGCATGCTGCACTATGTGCATCACACCGCGGAGAATCATTTATTTGGTTCCCCTTTGTCACGCTCCGAAGTCGTCAAAATGCTTTTAACAATCGGAGAACAACACTATGCGTCATGGTATCGATTCAGTTATCGCACATAATTGTGTCAGTTGATGGAAAATGTGAAAAGGTAGATTTGAGCACCACAAAGTGCATTAATCAAAAAAAAAAACGGTGTAAAACGAGAAATAATAGACTTAGGGGAAAAAGATAACACAACTTCATAACATACCAATCGACGTTTTCTCTGCCTGCATCACTGTCACATAATGCCCTTTTTCCATTTTTATGGCAAAGTCTTCGAGTGGTAGTCCTTGGGTAGAGTTCTAAGAAAATGTTTACAATATTGACTCACATACCAAAAAAAACGCATTAGAACCACCTTTCGTTGTCGTGGCGGATTGACTTCATCCGCGTTCGCGAGAGCAGTGACACGAGCATCTCGTTGGGGCACCCGGTTGGGCTCCCTAGGAGGCTTCAGCGCAGCTGCTGTCGGACGCAAGGGCTTCTCAGCCGATCGGACTACTAACATTGACGATTCCTTTGACGTGGCGCCATTCGCTGGGGAAACACTTCGACAAATCAGCCGGGATCCTTCTTTCAGCCTATATATTATAGGGTATTAAGTCTTGTATACATTAAACACTTAAGTTTGCCTAATCAACGTCAAACCTTTGGGGAAACCTCCTCCAAACTAGCCGGGAGTGCCAGCCAGGGTGGAAAACAAGATCCGGTTACTAGCAAAATTACAAGTGATGACTACAAATCAAGAGGATCCAACGGAATCCTCAGCAGCTTTAAGACTGAAGAATAGGAAGGTCCCAAGATGCGCATATACAGATGAATTTAGCACCCTAGAAGCCCATAAAACTGGCAGAATAATTGCTCGATGTACACAGCAGCGCGAGCAGGGTGAACAAAAGGAGATTAGCCCGCGATGGATGAATTATACTCCAATTATCTTTCTAAACTTGGTTCAGCTTAACTATGAGTAATACTTCTCGTAAATAGGTGCCACCGCGTGGCAGCTCGTGCCGGCTTAGCTATAAACTTTGATTTTCAAGAGCAGTTTATAAACCCCAGTAATGCAGCAAGACATTGAAAAATGGCCCACCTCATAGGATGCGATTCATTGCTGCTCTGAATAGATGACATGGAGGGGCTTCTAGGACGACCAAGTAAGTTTTTATCCGCGTCAGTTCGCCTAAAGGTTAAGGCGGATGTAAAATAATGTTTCATCATAGCCAAGCAGTAAAGCGTTTTAGCATCAGGGTCTGAAAAGAGCTGAATAGCAGACAGAAGTAAAGCAAGCATGCAAATATACCAGATTGACCTGAATTTGCTAAATATACAATTTGTATAATAAATAAGTGCATTTCCAAAAACATGAAAAATACGCTCTAAAATTACTTATGAAAAAAGTTCCCACAACAAGGAAGGGTGCACAAACAAGCCAGCTCTTCTCCTTACAATGCAATTCGGGAGCAATTGAAGGAAAGAGCAAATTGCCATGGCAACGCGAGAGATAGCGAACGCTTGAAAAATACGTGTTCCGCTAATTCCTGTGTTCTTGCAAACTGCTCATTTTACAGAAAAAAATCCGGAAAGTGAAGAATAATCAACATTCGAAACTTAGCAAAGGGTACGGGAAAGGGACAGGACCCTTCGATACTGGCACTGTTTTTTCTTGTCTCGTTCTGCAACTAGAGAAATATTTCTAAGCTAAATTCACCTACCTTTTCATAGGTTCCCGTAGATTACGCAGTGTTGTTCGAAAGGCTGCATTTCTATCAGACGAGGACGAGCGAACTGGATTGCTAACTTGATTCTTTCCGATGCTCGAGGAATCATCAATTCCCTACAAGACCAGATTCGTTGGAAAAACATGAAGTACCACAGACTCAAAAATCGATCAGAAGCCCTAGAAAAGAAAGCTTCTACAAAACTCACACAGTCGGAAGAGGATATATGAATTGCTGAAGGCACAGAGATTGTTTCGGGCGTTAAGGATGAGACAGACGGCGATTCACCGCGTAGTGTCAAAACGGCGATCTCGTCAGACAACGACTCGTCGTCATCCTCATCGTCGTAGAAATCCACAGGTTTCTTCGGTCCTTCAAGCAGTTCCTGCAAAACCACAAACTCAGCGCACGAACGAAGCAAGACTTCAAGTTGATAAGTCTTAATCACCTCCATGGGAACCACAGAGTAAGAGACTGCTCCAACAGAATCAGTACAAATAACACCAACACCGTCAGAAGACGCATTCATGTGCAGAACCTAGAATTCTCGGCCCATGATGATAATGTGACTGCAACTGCTATTAATAAACAATGATAAAGGTTTAGCTACCTTGCGCAAGTCTCCTATTTGATTCACAGTTAGTGATTCGCAAGGCTCACACGTTAAGGTCTTCATATAATGGTCCGTGCATGCAATTAGGACTGGATCCATATCTCAAATAGAAAACAGAAAAGTTTAACAACGTAAAAAATAGAAATGAAAAAAATCTGCACATGAACAATAGGAAAAAAGGCACGCTAAGGTTTTACTACTATCATCAGAAAGATCATAAGACACACCGCCCAATCAATGACCTATTCAAGAAACGCTTGAAACGGCCCTGCAATTTGGAATGTTTTAAACAGGACAGTTGAACGGCTGTTATCAAATGATATGATTAGATACTGAGAGAAGATTCGAGCAGCATAACAACGCTGATTAAGGTTGTGAGACAGTATGATTCCGTTCTTTTGACCCTGGTTAGGCTGGTGTCAGAGTCCGCGATCCGTCGCAGATTTCGCTGATTTCCGCGATTTGCGCGATATATGCGATTCACGCGACGGGTCACGGAAATCAGAAGTGCCCGATCAATACTGCATGTTCTCCAATCGTGCCGTACGTTGCTTGATAGCGAATGGTGACTGACGGACTGTCATTATTCATTGTTGTATAGTGTTTTTCAATGTGCAACTGTGGCATTGGCAATGTTTGCGCAAATTCGCGAAAGTTTCGCAAAAAGAATAATAGGCGGGAATGTCGCGACGGAGTTCGCGGACTGACCGGCCTAATTGCAATTCTTGATTATCGAAAAATTTTAGTTTTTAATTCACACCAACTTTTACTCAGCTACTGAACATTCGGAGAGCTGATATTTAGAAGAAAAATTGTGAATTATTCATAGTAGCTTCCATCACTGGCTGGATTAGAACTCTATAACGTCAATTAACTAAGAACACTTTGTTGGCAAAACAAGATGGGGCATGATCCATCATTAGAGCACTCTGTCAATATGGATTTATCCCTTTAGGTAGTTCCAGTATTTCCTGCAAGGCAGTTGATCCTCGATTAATTAACCCTCTCTTTGAAGAAATCTTCAGGCTTATCAGAACTTAGTAGAATATTATTGTGTATCATCAGGAAGGTACACACTACCAATTCAGACGCTTCCGCACTTTTTCTCGATAAGTATATCCAATTTGTGGAGAGAGGGGTCGCGTCAGAGTAGCGCAGCTTATCGGCGAGGATTCGCAAGGGGGGCTTTTAGTCGTCCAGGCCCGTCACCTGAGCCTCGTAAAAAAGGAGCTTTTGTAGAGTAAAACGTAGATCTATTGTGAACCACAATTTCCGTTTGTATTCCGAATTACATATCTCGCACGAAACAAGAATCGTCACTCCAGAACAAATCTTCCTTGGCTAGCTTTCACTGCGACTATGAGTGACCGCGCGGAGAGAATGAAAAAAAGGGAAGCCCATATTACCAGACTCCCTTTTTATAAATAGGATTATATTAGCCACACCCGAGAAAACACAGACGAGAGTTTTGTGTACAGGAGAAGATAAGCCAAATCAGTGAAAAATATGGTTATTGAAATCTCACAGATGGGGAGAAGACGTTGGGCGCAGCGGAATTTCCGAAAATGCGTTCCGACTGGAACAGGTTACTAGGCTGGGTCAACACCAAAGCGACAATACGTTCTGCGTATGTAGCCTTGAGCCAAGGTTAGCCTGCGAGTTTCCTCTTTGTGCCCATTTCTTTGTCCCCTGCAATCCTTATCGAAAACCAAATAGCACCATTATGATTCACACAGTTTAAATTGATCTACGGTACGTGGCTTAGCCATCTTGCAGCCCCAAAAACGCTGATTACCAGGTTCTCCAATTTCTTGCATGCTGATTCAACCACCGTGTTAAAATGGGGCAGTTATGTCTAACCTCCCAAACTCCACACAATAAGAATGCTGCCGATTTTGATCATGCCATCAGCAAACTCGGTGTGATGCCAATGTCTGACTGTCCCAAATGGGACCAGTCAGACATTGGCATCACACCGAGTTTGCTGATGAATTTCTTAATGTCGGATGTTTTCGAAACAAAAAGCTAGATCAATACTGACTTCTACACAGCGAACTGGACCTGTCGTTCTCCCTTGTAAAACATTAGCGGGATGAGATCGGCTATCCCACACAATCCATGAAGAATCTAGTGAGCCAGACACCTAAATGATAAAGAATAAAAACGTAAGTGCATGAGTTAACGAATCCCCTTTTCCTAGCTCTTTTCAGAAATTGTGGAGCGTCCACAATCGTCATGCATCGTCTTCAGTAATGGGTCCTGTATCAAAGGCAGCTCCCCCAGTTTCTAATTGAAATACGGGTCCGCGGAATCTTATCTCATACAGTTTACCCCCCCCCCCCTAATGTTTCAGGGGAAGCCAAATAGCAATATAAGGGAGATGAAAAACGGAATTAGTATTCTCAAAACCGCCCCCCCCCCCATCACACCGCGTCTCCGTGAGTGAAGGATATTCTTTATTACGGAGCAGCCTCGGCTGATGATCTCCACTGCAGAATCAGACGAGTTAGGCCAGCATGTGGAAATGCGGAGAAAAAGAGAAGAGCGAGTGTGTTGGCAGAACCACACCCCACTCCTACTCTGCTATCTTCGACAGCCATTTACTTCTGCCGTGACAGCGTCTAGCCCCAATACTTTCAAAGCAAGACAGTCAATAAATCATGCCAGTAGGAGGCATTGGATGAAGTGCAGTAATGCGAGCAAGCGGCTTCAGAAGTTCAGCGAGAGCGCTGCTACTCACATAATAAAAAACTCATCGCAAAATTTCAACTTTTGAAATTTTGAAGATAAAAGCGTTTATCGAAGGTTCGAGAGTCAGTCAATCGTGGGCCAAGCGTTTCTCTTAAGAAGTCGTTGCTCTTCTTGTGTCGATACCCCTTGTTCACGGAGAACTTCATACGCCGTGCTCAGTCATCCGGTCATTGATCAATATGATCAGCGGTTCAACTCGAGAGCTGGATAGAAGTACAACACAGTATTGTAGAGCATTTGTGACGGACGAGCTAGCAGTAAGGATGAAGGAGAGCTCCAGATTTTGTGCACACGACTTTCATTCCACGTCTGTTTCCTCTCTAGTTAACGCTTCCAAGACATGGATTGGACGACGAAGAACCTGCGTTGGGTATCATACTACGCCTACTGAGAAGCACCGCTACGACCTTTCCGTTGACACTAAAGGAATCCGTGATGCACTCATTACGAAGATCTGAAGCGCAGGCCCACTCTCGAAAGGAAATCACGCGAATCGGGCACGTTATATACGATCTGACGATAACGCTGGACCAGACCGATTATCGACTGGATCCTGCGAGATATCAGATGGCCGTCGACCCGATAGTAATCCTTCACCGCGAAACTCCGATCGAATGGTATTACGCGTCTCGTAAATCGGGAGAACTTACTATACTACACAGGCACGCAACAAAACGAGTAGAAACATAACCGATACCTGCTCGCCCATCTCGATGAGCAATGCGACGAGAGGTAGCATGGGTGATTAGAATATCACAATTAACTAGAGCATTTTGATGCTCAAATAGGCATAAATCTAGGAGGAAGGAAATAGAATCATAAGCAAGGAACTACTGTGAAAATATTCTATCCAAAAAAATAGAGGAGGCAAGGAAAGAGAAATGTTCACGAGAAATTGCGGTGAGAAGAGCATCCTTTTCAAAGGTACTCCGAATTCGGTAACGATTAAAAGTCCCAGATAATTGGAGTTTTCTTTTCAATTTGTGTTGAATATTCCTGATTGATGAAGAAACATAAAAACAAATGTTAGAGCCTTCCTTCGCCACAAGCAATTTTGTGCGATCAAAATGACCCATAAAGATGGTGAAAACAAGTAACAACGGCCTAGGAACTGTCTCCCATGAGGTTCTTTGTCGAAAAAAAATGGAAAGGAAGACAAAAACACCCTCAATAAATACACAGGGTTAACAGAAGGGTTGAATAACTTACCCATGAGTACACGCTGCTTCGACGTGGTGTCAGTGCTTTAACAGCTAATGAGTGTCCTGATAGATTACGGATTTCACGTCCTGAAGATGGATATTATTAAGATGAGCAACATTCAGAATGTTCTTCTTGCTAACCTCTAGTAAGATCAATTAGTTTTATAAGGTCATTTGAGGCCACAGCTATGTTCCTTTCGTCAGCACTTAAACGTAAGCAATCCACGTGACCGTTGAACGGGAGGCTAGGGACCTATAACAAGATTGAGGTGAGGAGAACCATCTCAAATAAAATCTTTTGTTTGCGGCGGATCTGTAACTATGGACCCCATTCTGAGACGTACCTCACTCTCTATGTTGTGCAACGAATGAACAGTGAGGGGGTTGGCAATGAAGACGCATCGCGATCTCACCGACAGTGTAGCATGAATCGGAGGAGGAAATACATTAGAAGGAGCAATTATTTCTGAAAATCCAACTGTAACTTAAAAACCTAGACTGGACTAAACAGAAAGGAAAATGCTCTTCAAGAGATACAATGCTTTTTTAAACCTCAAAGGGGATTGAATTTCGTCATGACTACCTTGGTGAGTGACTGATCGCCAAACTGGCGGGACTCTTCACTTAAGAAACGCCAAGGCTGATGTCAGAGTTTGCGAATCCAGCGATTCGCTAGCAAATCGCCGGATTCGCAAACTCTGACATCGGTCTAGAGGATTCATTTCAAATTATAGCCACTTCTGAGAGGGAAAAGTAAAGGCAATGTGGAGAAAGTTTGTGTAGTGAGACTCCTTAGGAGTAGTACTGCATTTTTTATGATGATCTTTTATTTGAAGCTTTTTTCTGCCTTTCTTGCGACAGACAGCGAACACTGAACAGATGCAAATTTATTTCATGGTATGGTGTCAGTGAGAATGGGAAACGTACGGCAGCTAAACCTCAGCAATCAAATGATTCTAGGCGTTAACAAGCCGGAAATAGAGTAAGTACTGCGTGCCCACGTGAAAAATTTCTATACATTGGAGCAAAAAGCGTTATTAATTGCAACTGATGACAGCGCCTGACAGGGCCGAATCCTTCAGCGCTCCCTTTCTCGCTGTAGCCCTTGTCGCAATTGCGCGGCATCGGGGGTCGTAAGGTATGCTTCCCCGGAGGGTTGCGGGGAAAATTTTTTGTTTTGAACGATACTGTTTCTTCATTTTCAGTGCATGTTACTTTAACCTACACACATATATTAAATGTAGGCCCTTTATCAGGACAATCCCAGTTGGGAAGACAGAGAAAATTTAAAGGGATTTCGTCCCCCAACCCTTTGGGGAAGCATACCTTACGGCCCCAGGTAACATCAAGAGTACCAAAAAGCACAATATGTCTATTTATTGAGCCATCGCCACGTATGACATTGAGCTGCAATAACGCTAGCCTCTCCCTTCTTATGCGAAAAACAGCTGTAAACAAGGTATAAAAGGAAGACCGCTCCGACTGTCTGTTTGACTACTACGACTTTTGACTACTACGCAAATTAAGGTCATCAAAATCTGCGCAAATGAAGGTCAACGTTGATTTGCAACTGTAAGAAAATGGATTGATGAAAATAGCATTGATTGAGGGATTACAGACACAAAGTACTCATTATTCCTCTCCTGGTATGAAGTGCTTCATCCAGAATTCCCCTTTGAGACAAGCAATCATTTAAAGGAGAGGAGGGAGACGAGATAAATTGCGATGGCTCTTGGTAAAAAGTCACATCGCAACCCTGTTCTCAATTTTCATGGACACATGGCTATAGCTGCATCGAAATCATTAGGCTGGTGTCAGAGTTTGCGATCCGTCGCAGGTTTCGCTGATTTTCGCGAAACCTGCGACGGATCGCAAAAATTGCAAGTGCCCCATTTGAACATTTGAAACACTGAATATGAAACAAGAATCATGAGCAGTCGTCATTCAGCCATCACTATCAAGCAGAAGTGGCGGCAGGATTGGAGAACACCTTGCAGTATTGATCGGGCACTTGTGATTTCCGTGACCCGTCGCGTGAATCGCGTGAATCGCGCAAATCGCGAAAATCAGCGAAACCTGCGACGGATCGCGGACTCTGACACCAGCCTTAAGTTTTCATCGGAAAACCTAGCAGCAAACAGTTTCCCTTAAGATGGGACCAAGGAACGCTAGCCTATATGTACACGATAAAGAACAGCTTTAACCACCTCAACCGATGATGAGCTATTGTTAAGGAAACAAACACCGGTTTAAAATAGAGCACCCTTCTATTGATTCAGTCTTCCAAACCAAAGCCTGAAAAGGAAGTAAGTCCAGTTGTTTATAAACACATAGTTTACATATAGCGACCATGTGGTTATACAAGGCTGTGCTTAGACCTTGCGAAAATAGGAGATTCAGTGAGCTCTTGTTGAGAAGTGACACGCTCACAATGGCTCAAAATGTAGAAATGCATTCGATGGATGCCACGAGAAATGAGAAATGAGGATGGAAAAGAAAAAAGTGCAGCCGGATTTACTCGTTCTGTTAGGCAACTGATCAGTTTCCGCAATCGCCTAATCCTAGTAGCGTCACCTTGAGGTAAGAAAACTTGAAAAGAAGTATGAAAAAAAATGAACCCAAGTAGTTTACCGTAAGTTTTCATAAGTCCTAATCAGAGTCGCTGAATGTTGACGAAGTCTTCGAAAGGAAGCACAACCTGCTGTGAGTCCGCGGCCCTTCCGCAACTGCAAAACGAATTACTTCCATAACATTCAATATTTCTAAATATCGCAACACATCAGAGAAGAGAGAGACATGAGCGAAGGAGGAACACACTCCGCAAAATCCGATACGGCCGCTCCGGGTTGAAAGTTTTTTGGCGACTGCGGGACCGAGTGAAGAACGGCGCTGGCGTGGCATCTGAGAGTCCGCAAATGCACAACTGGTGT